TTCACCAAAACACAAAGATAAGAAGGATGACCGACTTCAAACCTACCTACTTCTTATAGTCCAATTTGATCCACTTTATTAAAGCTCTTATGTTTTGGTTGGATATCACATGCCTTGCCTAAATATTTGCTGAAAAGTTAAATTAAATGTCTGCGGAAAAGACTTGCAATTCGATCCTATTTGGCTTGTATTTTAGCTCATATTTAAATGTCGAGAATAAAGGAACGCTCCATAATAAAGGTAAGATTCATTCCAGCGCATTAGTTAGATGTATAGATAATCATTTTGCAATTTGGCAGCACGGCAATGATAGATTATGCCATTACTTGTTCTTTCTTAACCAGAGAGATAGTTCTCAATTAAAATACAAAAAGAAAAATGTCCATCATTTTTGGATAGCAAAACAGGATAGAAGATGAGCAGGGGTGTAAAAAGAAAGCCAGCACATGCTGGTCTTATCATTAAATTATTTTCGAAGCTGGTTACAAAACGAAAGTTAGTAGCCTCGATGTATTAAATTATTTTCTTACAGAAGTATCTATAGTGTCAAAAGGAAGAATTTTAAGAACTGATGAAAGGTTCTGTCCACCATTTGGTTGACGTAAGTCCCGAGGCACTAGTCCTTAAGTAATTCTGATTGAATTGAGGAGATGTACGTCTGTACGCGTGAAGGCCAGGCTACGAAGCCACCAATCATAATCATTTAGTATGGAAGCATTAAGGTTTAATGACCAAACGAAAAGGATGATGGGGATTGCGTAATCTCTTACGTCTATTTTGGTTGGTGAGCTTAACATGCCTGTTGAACTAGTGTGAATTTGGTTAAGACCATCACTTAGCTGACAAGTTGAGTCGCCTAATATCGGATTTTGGCTCAATATCCTCTCTCTCCCATTCAATCTTTCAATCAGGACCAAGTAACTCTTACTCAACTTTTTACCACCATTCCTCACATTCAATGTATTCCCTATTCTATTAATTTCATAGTATTTTTATCTGCTATTTAACAGCGGACATACCATAATCAAAAAACCTCTGTATCTGAGACCATTCTATCTCATGCCAAGTCTCTGCAGTGCTCAGCCACTTCTGGCCATTCGACCCAGTTATCTTTACAAGCATTCTTGTGCTCTGCTAATCTTTGGTGGATAGGCCGACACGTCTCACCAATATAAGGCCGACGGCTGGGTTCGAGATCGTGGATGACATAGTAAATGAGGCCGCAGATATAGCTCACTTTGAATGTATCTATGACTAAATATGAACTTATGGAAAATTAAGTATATCAAGTTAAATAAAAAATCCTAAATAGGAGCTGGGGTCACCATAACTCGCATAAGGTGATAAAGGATCGAAATTCGAATTTTCCCACAATGATATGCAAAATTTTGAAGTGATTTGGGCTTTAACGGGGATAAGGTGCTAGCAATGGGATTACATTTTGTTTCAATCAAATTAGACTTAATAAGGTATAGGTGTAAATATTAAAACGAAATACCGGTGCAAGTTATAACTGACCGATTTTGATCAGGATCATAGGCTTCACAAGTGCGCAGGGAGCTCTTGCCATCATAACCACCCGAGACATAGATACGTCCGTCGAGGACGACTGCTCCAAGAGCACTGCGTCTGTAGTGCATAGGAGGAAGGGAGAACCATCGTCGCGCAGCAACATTGTAGGCTTCTACCAAATTGAGATGTGAACTGCCATCGTATCCGCCGAGGGCGTAAACAACACCTACAAGCCCAGGACGAATTAAGAAGAAAGCCTAGAGATTGAGGGATTAACGAAAAAAAGAGAAAACAAGTCCTAAAGACTGAAAATCTTTAATAAAAACTGAGAGCAAATGCTTGATATTGCGTGCAGAAATACCTAAAAATGTGTTTATATGAATAGAAACTGAGTTAGGAAAAATTCATTTATTCATGCCTTTTAGTTCACTAGGAAAGGCGAAAGGTATTTGTTAATTGGTCGCATTGAAAACTGACGAAAGATCGCCTTGGGGTTGCACTGTCGATTTAGCGAAGAAGCCGTCGGAGCAAAGGTTCGTCGGAGTCTAAGGACTGTGCACTGAGGACTTCTACGCATAAATACACAATCACAACTTCAAAGCAATCCTCTTTGGTCTCAGGTACGAATAATTTACGATTCTTTAAACAGCCTATCAAAACGAGATAAAAAAAGCATGAAGTTTTTCGAAACACAGTTTCTCTTCACATAATTTTTAAAAATATTTTTGCAAAAAATCCAAAGTTTTTGCTCCCAATTTTTATTTAAAAGTTTCAAAATCTAGCGCGTGATGCAACCTAGATAGAATAGACCTTTAATTCAAGATCATTGATAGTATGAAATTCTACTCAAAGAGGATTGAGTATAGCCTCCATCCTTAAACTTCCTAACTCATCCATGAGCTA